TGCGTTCCAATTAGTCTTCCTACCAATATGACCGAGTTGCGAAAACAAGGTCAAACAACTTCTATTCAAACGTATTTTTGCTATAACAATCGACTACGTCACTTTACAAGGGAAACGTCAGCTCAACTCATATCACTTGTTGGAAAATTCTTCAACCAGTCCTTTATCACCTTAAACGAAATTGGGTAAATACATCTCATACTACTGATTTAATGGTAGTCTCGAAACAATACTTGAATGCGAAAAATATTTTTTTACTTCGAACTGAAATGTTGAGTGACTCAAACTCATGAAGGTATCTGTCGAAAGTCACTTTTGCGCCATTACTCCTCGGCAGCCATAGCAAATCTATCCATGCGCGACCATAACGAGGCTCGAAGCCCGCGCTGTCAATGTCAGCTTACCACGGAAGTGGTGGCACGGAGTGTCAAGGTCCACTTCCAACTGGACACCTACGTCAGCCTTGGCAACATAATGGCCCGGATACAATAGCAATAGCTGTGGTGAGGTGGGGCGGACTTGCACAAAAACTGATGACGAGCAAGAGACCATATCAACACTGTAGGCAGGCTCCAGAGTTGATTATAAAATCAATGAAAGCATTAGAGATTAATAACAACCCGTTGTCTGTCCGTCTGAACAAGGTGCGTCTTCACCAATCGACGCTTTGTTTGGCGAGCCTCGTGAGAGTGAACTCGGTTGTGATTGGAAAATTGGCAATTACATTGCCTCCCAGTCAACTGTGAATGGGGCGGAGAAATCAAGAAAAAGGTAAAAAATAACAGCAAGAGAAGATCGAGCGCAAGAGAAAGTAGGCAAAGCGAGGCAAGAGAGAAGCTGTGCAAAGGATGACCAGATTGCAAGATTAAAAGCAGACTGGTGAACTATTTTTCGACGGTAAGCCGCCTTCTAGATCAATTGAAAGCAGAAAATGTAGACTGATGGCTCATCTGCCCAAGAGTTTTTGGATGCGTTGGCTAGAGCACGCCTCGAAATGAAGAATTAAAAGCGGTTACTTGAGACTGATAAAGCATAACAGTTGATTAAATGAAAAACATCAACTAATTATAGAAAATGAGGCATCGTGGAATTTGGAAAGAACCTTTAGAACAAATTAGCAAGAATAAACGAAAAAACCTATATTTATGTGGAATCGTGACATGAAATTCCTCGTTTGTATGCAGGTTATAAAGTCTACTTACTAGTTTTGCATCACCCTAGGCGACATAGGGTGAACCCTTCTCAACGATATGGCATTTCATTGAGAGAGAAAGTTGTTCTTGCTTGTAGATACGAAGAGAAAGTTGGTTTCGATGAATCTCCTGAGATAAAATTATTAGGGTGACCTTCATTTCGAATGAAAGTGAATGAAGAAGAGATTCGTTGGTCGATCTGATCAGATGAGGATGGATGGAACTCGTTGTACTGCAGCCGTTTGGCTTTTATGCGATATTCATGTTGACGCAGTCCACGAGACTTTCTCCCTCGTTTTGGGTGAAAACGTGCTGAGCTTTCGTCCATCAGATGATGGACATCATCAGAGCTGGCTGTCGTTCTTGTAAAAGTCTCACGCTAATACTAAAGCAAGAACACAATCCGGCTCTTTCTTACTTCTTATATAGACTCAATCGAGCCAAAAAATTAAAAATTAAAAATTAAGATAATTCGATAAAGAGTAGTTTGGTTAATTTTCTTGCATACTGGTTCTGTTATTTTTGCTCGATTGTATGAGTATGTATATTTGTCTTAAGGATCAGAACAGGAAATTAAACCTTTGACAACTCTGATTTAGGAAGCGTATTGCATATAGACGCTAACACGTCCAAATATACATACTCATACAATCGAGCAAAAATACTAGAACCAGTGTGAAATAAAATTAACCAAACCACTCTATAACGATCTATCTAAGTTTGTAATTTTTAATTTTTTGACTCGATTGAGTCTATCTAAGAAGTAAGATAAAGCCGGATTGTGTTCTTGCTTTAGCATTAACGTGAGACTTTTACAAGAATGAAACCCAGCTCACATGATGTCCATCATATGATGGACTCAAGCTCACCACGTTTTCACCCGAAACTAGAGAGGAAGTCT